ATTGAATCAGAAATCGATAACAATAGGTCTCCCTTTCCGTTTCCCCCCCCCCCCCCCACGCGATGATCTACACACGAAACACCTTAAGTCATAAAAGTCGTGAGAAAAAAATACCTCATCTTCCTCTATTTAATTTTTTTCCTACACAGAGAAAAATCCGTTCTCAAAAAACCAAAAGCAGCAACTTTGTTCCAAACTCACGCTCATGAATCAAGGGCGTCGCCATCAATTCATCGTTTTTGGGCTTTGCGGTCGTATTTTACGCCCGTCCTTGATTCAACATCGCCGGGGTTTGGTTTAACGTTCACGAAAATCATCCAAGAGAATGAACTTTTTATTTAAGGTTTCTCGTGCCTTTGATTTCTATTCATCAAAATTAAAGATTCAGGAAGCTGATTGAATGCCGCACGTCCTTCAATTGTATACATCTTGTATAAAAAAAATTGACTGCTAAAACATTTCCACAAGAATTTTTATAGAATTCTGTTGGGCTATTCCACGCAAATGTTAAAAATGATACAATTGAGAATTATGAGAACATTCCAACAAATTTTTTAAATGTCTTAGACTAGTATTGATTGGGGTTGAGAGCAAAAGGTACGGACACCACTCCCAAAGATGTTCTACACTGTTAAAAATGTTTTCGAAATTTCATGGAAAATATGGTAGTAATTCTCATGAGAGTGACATTGAATCGGATTGAAGGGAAAAATGGTTATGAAATTTCAAATTTTAGGTAAAATTCAAGAAAATTCATGAGTTTTCATTGGGCGTGAGACGAAAATAACATAATTTAATTGAATTTTTAGTGGAAGATGAATATTCAGAAACAATATGACATGAATTTTCAATTTTTCCCTGAAGTTTTCAGATTTTTCCGAATTTTCAAGGAATTATTGAACTGAAAAACCAAGATTTTTATTGTTTTTCAGATCATTCGAACAAAAAATTAATGGAATACTTTATTTTTCAATGACAAGATTGTCTGAAATTTTAGTGAAAATTAAATACGATAAAAATTTCCAGGATTTGACACGGAAAATTCAGACGAAAATTTTTAACAGTGTAGTAAGACCCTTGAGCATTTTCGCAAGTTACAAACATCTCGACAATCTTCAGTGGGCAGAAGGTGCACCAGGTAACATAATCGTACTGAACCATCTATTCTATAGGAAATCTTAACGAATTAAAATGTTACGATTCATGTATCCGATGATGAGCATGCTTCCATGGTCGCTCAAGCTCAATTATTCCAATAATTCATATTATTCTACGAGGAATTAAGCTGGGAATGTACTCATTACAGACGCCCAAGGAGTCTTCATGGCATTGACGTATTCTTTATGGTGTATTGAAGTAAATTGCATTGTCTAATGAAAAAAATTGTAATGGAAGTGAGATACGATTTTACAGATGTAAGTGACTCAATTAACGGAGCAGTAATGGAAGTACACGACTAGAAATATATCAGAAAAATTACGATACTAATATGGCAAAATGAGTTCATTTCATCAACCCCGGAAATTTTTGTCGTGTTATAAGAGTTTTTCTTGTATCCAACGTGAGAAATTTGTTTCCGTCGCAACAAAAGTTCTGGCGTTGGCACCTCCAACTGAACCCACCGTCCAAAATGAACCCATTTCTCCATGTTCCACAGTAATGTTCCTTACATTCTTCTCTCCGGGTAGATAGCAATGAGAACAGTTTTAGTGATAGCTGGTATTTTTCTTTCTTCCGAATGCAGGATGCATATATATTCCTAGTTAAATTCATCGTGGAATCATGTAGTATATCGAAATAAATGATCTGGTGCAGATTTACTTCTACATTGATCGTAACACTTAACTTAGCTGAGATCTCCTATAGAATAGAGCTTTTAATGGGAATATGTTGCTAGTCCATTGAAGGTTGTCGAGATATTCGGCTGTTCTGAACCGTCCAGAATGGCTTAAATTTCTTGAAGAATCACCATGACAATCTTCTGAATAATCTGTTGAAATATTCCTGAGGTAGTGCATTCCCATATCCACAGGACAGAGTGATTCAACATGTTCATTATAATTTATCTAAAAAAATCACTTAACGCGAGACGTAGAATGAGCGTACCTCAACATCAAACGAAAAAATAAATTTCTGGTCCTTTCCTGAGAAAAAAATTTCAATCCGACAATAAAATTTATTGCACACACACGAATGCCCGAAATTTCCACGCAAAATCCCGTTATAAAATTTTGCCCAAAATAAATCTGATTGACAGAATTAATATTTTGATCTGTGTTCTCGCTGGTGACACAGCCCATTGGAGTCACTAGAGAATTCCTGGGAGTGGTCTCTGAACTTTCTACCCTCAACCCCAATCAATCCTAGGCCAAGATATTTTTTGAATTTTCCTCGGAATTTTCCAAGAAAAGAATTAAAACTCGTGAGTTTTAAAATAAAGATTTTCTCGACTTCGATTCAACAACCTATTTTTTGGCAATTATCTTAAATGAAAGTCATGAGCAATGCCTTGAATTAAGCGCCGCGCCCTTGAACGAGCGTCGAATTTTTCTCAGTATATATGCGATTAGTCACACGTTAGGACTGAGATTTCCGCGGCGGTTTCTTCCGAGGTATTTGAACCCATTCTCCCCGTCTGTAGGCAGTCTGCCCCACCTACCATCGGCCCCCGAGATGCTGCGAGGTCCCTAGTCCCCTGTCGTCTGACGAGTATTTCCTTCCTTCCTCCATCCCTCTCATTCGCCCCACAGGACGACGACCCCCGCATCCCGTCTTGCCCACGCCCTGTTTTATCCCGCTCTCCCTTCCAATGTGAACAAAATAGAATAGCGGAATAAAAACGATAGGGGGGAGACGGAGGGTAAAATTTGTGAGAGAGTTTGGGAATTGTTTAGATGGAGATAATACTGCATCAAAGTGAATTCACCCGGCCTATCCCACTGGTTTGTTGTATATAGATAACACGAGGCCTGCGGAGAGGCTGATGGATCAATAGTCCCTGTCTAGCTGTCTCATCCTCCCACCTTGAAACTCTCAGTGGCCTCATTCGTGGAACTTTGAATCAAAACTCATCCGAACATACAAGAATACTTGCTATTACTCATTGTCTATCAATCAAATGAAAAAACAATGGATATAGTTCTCGAATGTGTTTTACATCGATCTATTATTCATCTCATTCCCAGGAAAACTCTAGGCAATTTTGCTGTATATACGAGAATTTAAACATCAAACGGGGGAAGTATATCTGTTAATGCTGGCACGCGATGACCCAGACAGAATGGCGACTAACTCAAAGGCGGTTCTCGACTACTTTCACCTCTCTCTTGAGTTATCTACGTTCCATGTTACGTGATTTCATATAATATTCGAAATTAGGTAGAGAGCTGAAGAAAATACGTTTTTTTTTCCGGGCGGGGGTTGAAAGAAAATGGAGCAGGGATTGTTGTACGACGCGCACCCAGCCCGGAGGGTGGCGTAGTACGACGAATGGGAACGGAGTTTATCGATTAGTGACGTCATTGCACCCACTATAACCTACGTCACGGCGACGTACAAATGGAGGCGAGAGAGAGAGAGACAGAATTGAGTACGTCGAGTCAGGGGGTTCATAATGTGTAATGTGTATGTTCGGGGATGAATCATTTAAATTAAAAATCATTTTTCACGTATTTTTATCTCTGAATGATGGTTTAACACTTGATACAGATTCATGGTTTGTTGAACAATCCACGACTTTCAAGTGGATTGTTCAGCGAACACGGAGAAAATTATTTAGTGAATTTCACCAATTAGTTGTTGAAATTCACCAACTAGTTGATGAAATTTAGCAACTAATTAATTAAAACTCAGAAAAAAAAATTCAGTTTAATTCAATTCATGTTGACTACCAAACTAGATGGTGAGGGCATATATATATTTGGAAACAATCCCGCAATCATTTATATCTTGACAATCGATCAATGTCTACCCTAGAAGATATTTTCGCAATCTACAATTCCTTGTTAAATTTGATCCATCAAATAAATCGACGAACGTTTATTGAAAATTTAACAAATGGTTGTCAAATGAAATTGAAAAATCTTTTTCTCAATTTTAATTAAATAGTTGATGAAATTCACCAAATAATTTTCTCCGTGAATGACAAGAAACATTTCTACATTTCATTAAATTGTGATGAAAATGGTGCTATGACAATTTTCTATTCGAATCCACAGTTGTTGAACCTATTTCCCATCCTCCATCACTTTCCGCGAGTTAAATTCCCTGCAGCAGTGGATGAAGGGTTTATTGCATTTCCTTTTAATCAAACCATGACCAATGAAATTGATTACTTTTAATATGCGTAACAGACTTTTTTTCATTTTCTCCTTTCTTTTGCCTCTGATGGCGTGTAAAATAAACTTTTCAATTATTAATTCTGAATATTGATCGAAAGGTCAATGAATAAATGTCATCAGATTGTTGAGTTGGTGGGAAAAAAATGAGAGCTTGAATCAACGAAAAAGGGCAATCAATTCAACGACGACCCTGTTATGGGATGCGGCTGGCGGAGTTTTCCCAGTGCACAAGTATTGATCGTCCTTCCTCACGCCGAGCTCGCCCTTCCCCTCTTTTACCTTGCACCCAGCCTGCCACCAATCCCCACTATTTTCTTTTTACAGGAGGCCTCGACGCGGGAAAAAATCGGCGCCCTTATTTCCAGCAAACCCGTGATTATAATCGATGGAGACTCTCTCGATTGTACAGAAAAATATGAATGTTATATTTTTAATATTTTTTATTTTCATGTATTGAATGCAATCAGAATAACGAGGAGAATAATTATAAGTAATTATGCGATAACTGAGGATGACCTGAATTTTTGCCCTTCTTGTGGGACAATAAATTGAATTTCTTTTGTGCATTTTTTTATTGTTTCACAGAGCATAATGAATTTAATTGTATGTGGCTCGTGACATGATTTTATCATGCGTGGAAAATCCGGTGGCAATGTATAAATGTACTGGGCGAGCGACATTTGTTTCATTTGTACTTTAAAAACTCGAGAAATCTACGTAATGATGGTTATTTATTTTTATGTATTTTTTAATATGTTTCTTGCCCTTGAAAAAACGTTCTGTGAAGCTACAGTGCACGAGGGGTTAACAAAGGTGTTGCTCGGTGGTTATACAAAGTGTGTGCATGTGTTTCACACCGAAATTATATATTTTTTTCAATCAAAGAACCACATAAATAAAATGAGAATTAATTCTTCGTTTTCCAACTATCAATAAAATGAATCATTGACAATATGCCAGTACTTGATATCGTTAATGACATATTGACCTCAAATTTTCGGAAAATGCTAGGCAAACTGTCCAAACACAAACAGTACTTTCAATTCTGAACTCAACTGTAAAATAAGCAAATTCGAATATTTTAAAATTTTTCTGATTAAATTCTGTAATGACGTGGTAAAGTAGGATAAGTGCAATTGTTTTGAAAAATTTTCTATTACTTGAATCAAAAGTTCTCTCTAACGTGGTCAAATTTTTTAACTCTCCTGAAAAAGTTCCATTTTTGGACTTATCCTGGTTTACCACTTCACTATAGAATTATAAATAGACATTCCCCTATTTTCCATTTCCCCAGTTTTCGTCTCTCGTATTCAAGAGCAACCTGACACGGGGTAATTTCGACTAATAAATATATTTTAAGAATCCTCAACGAATGAACCAGTGAATTCTGAGTCGTGAAGATTTCTAAATAAAATTTTCCACTTTCGTTTTTCTTCGATATTACGTTCTGAAGTAATTATTATAGTCGTTATAAATTGGATTCGCGGGGTGTCAGTTAGTGGAGCCGAAAGCTTTGTAACTGCTCTTCTAATGTCGGAGTAGGAAGCAGTTTAGTTGAATGAATATGAACTTCTTGTTACTTTAACTGAGAAACATAAAGTTTCTGGATGTCGAGATTCAAATTTGTCTTCATTGAACAATTAAAGAAAATATTTTCATCTCTTGTCGTTAAAAGTTAATAGAGGGCTTTTATTATTCTAGTGTAAGGACAGTTCAACTTCTGAATCAACTCTGCAATGATTCACAGGACGAAGACGACGTGGTAGCCCGTGACGCATGTTATGGGTGTTTCTTTCGAGCAAGTAATAGACCCTCAGGATATCCAATGCTATTATCAATGTCAGCCTGTGCTGATTTGTATCTTGATGACTCGAATTACGGTCACTGTAGTGCCTACCTGAAGGTATTAAAAAATTCATTAGTTCTTAGGAAATGTTATCAGTAATTACCATTATATTTTCTCCTCGTTTATCAATTTTCCAAGAACGCTACAAGCAATGCGGAGACACGTGCCACCCCCACGACAATCTATTGCACGTTTCTGGAGTGCATACGACAAGTGAACAAGGATAGTCTGGTAACGTCCATCTGCGATACTAGTTAGTTGTCTCATTAATCATTTCAAAATATTTTTCTTGCTGTCTTTTTGTGATTTCTCCTACGTTGTTAAAAAATTTTGTCTACATTTTCAAGTGTACTTTTTGGAAATTTTTATCGAATTCAATTACCACTGAAATTTCAAGAAATTTCGTGGAAAAATCAAAGAGAACTGTAAATTTCAATTATATTTTTTCCTGAAAATGAATGGAAAACCAGAAAATTACGGTAAATATATTCGTGAATTTTCAGGGCAGCGACACTAAATGCGATTTAGGGGGAAAAATCATGAAATTTCAGATTTCACTGAAAATTCAATGTAATTTGGTACTGAATATTCATATTATATTGGAAATTCAAATAAATTAAGGAATTCTCGTCTTTAGGCTGCTTCAAATTCCGAAATTTTACTGAATTTTCAGTGAAACCTGAAATTTCGTGATTTTTTTCCCCCTAAATCGCATTCAGTGTCACTGTCCTGAAAATTAGTGGTCAACTGTCCATGAAATTTCATTTTTTTTCTAATAGTGTAATTGTGGAATCATCTCGGGGATGGATTGCTTTTCCAAAAAATGACACGAGACGACCTTTTCAGACTATTAAATTTTCTGTTAAAAATGTCCTTTGATCATCTTCATCTCATATCAGTAATGATACGGAAAAAAAATTCCTAGTTTCTAGAACCAATTTACTAATTCTAAGAAAATCAAGGTTCCATAAGGCATTATACTGAGAATGAGACTGGCTACTTGATTTCAGAAGATAGTTTCAGTGATAAAAATCTACTTATGTTAACCCTTAAGTGGTTGCGCAATAAGGCAATCCTCGCCGTTTTTCGGTTTTTTTCTTTTAACACAAAAACTTCGTTACTGAAAAATTCATAAAAATTGGTATTCCTACTTTCAAATATATTGGACACAATGAGAATTTTTTTGGTCCAGAATTACCCCAATAAATTAGCAAAATCTGTTGAAAGCTAGACTTTTCCGTATACTTCTTCTCGTTGGAATGAGCCTAGACCGAACTCAATTAATTAATTTATTTTTGAGTTATGAGTATTAAAAAAACTAAATGTAATTTTTTTTTAGTATTTTTAGACAAAATTTTCCTAAAATTCCGGCATTTTTATCTCACTAGATTCCACTACGACGGAGTTGTGAAATTCAGAAATTGTTACTGAAAACTAGTAATTTTTTTTCTATGTACTGCGATGATCCAACAAACAACCATTTCATAATTTCTTTCCTGAATTGTAAATACACGAAATGATGTGTCACAGTTCTAGGACAATTGTAAATACACAAATGATGTAAATAAATTACACAGGAGGCGCTTGTGGCATTAAGGAATGATAAAATGGTGGGAATAAACAGAACCCGTGGGTTCATAATCACGAGGTATGTCTTCGCACTCAGGGGAATTTGTATTGTGAAAAATACTGGGAGAAGATCAACCACTGTCAGCCCTTCTACTGGAGTTATTGATCCACGCGGTAACCATTTATCACAGTGAATTTCATTAATTACATTTTCCCCCTAAGAAAGCACGCACGAAAACATCAATTAATGACTCCGGAATGGCGTCATCAATCTGAACAGACGAATAAATCCCACGCAAGAAACATTAATCGATTTTTTCTCCCATGACGTCGTTGCTCTGCATTGTTTGCAACTCTTCAAATCTTCAATTGAGCGAACAACAAATATTTTCGACCAGACAATTCGTAAACGCATATGTTGATTCAACCTCACGTTAAAAATATCTCAAAATGATAAATTGACATAATGATTCCAGGGCAAAGACGATGTTTTCGTAAACAAAACCGTTTCAAGTAATAACACAAACAAAATATATTTCCTGGAGTATCAGTCAACTCAATAATTTTTGTCAACAACATGCGGGGACGTGAAAATGAAAATGTCCAGAATATTTTTTAGAGACATATTTCTTAAAACTGTATCGAAAGTTGAAAGATCAAGATTTGCAGTGTAAATTTACCCTTTGAAAATGTCTACTAAGTGAGTAAAATGAGGGGCATTGAACAATTTCTTATATGAGGTATTCCATGCCAACTGAATCAACGGCTGAGCCTCCCCTTCTCGGAAATTGATTTCGACTTTTTCTACGATTGGGGGCTAGAAAAACTATCTCTCAATTTTTTTCAGATTTTTTCGATAGCCCATTTCGGAGATATAATTTTGTCTTTTTTTTCATTTTTTTTCAATAACTCGGGTTCTATTCAGCCGATTTTAATGTATGACTCTACCATCTATAAGAAGATTTTGGGTATTTTTTTTTCAATCCCTAGGTGGTCATAATACCGAATTTAAAAAAAATGAAAAACGTTAATTTTCAAAATTACGTCACCTTTTGTTTTTCTCATCTTTTTATCAGTAACTCTTATAATCAAAACAAATATTTTGAGCCGTCATACAAGTTGGGTTTTGTCCTTGATCTATTTTATTCTTAATTTTTTCTGCTCGAAATTCTGCGCATTTGGTCAAAACACCCCAAAACGACTTCGATTATGTATCGAAAAAATATGTAACATATAGGTATACATTTAAATTCACTTCATACTGTTTATAATCAAAGTCAATCAACTCAATTTTTGGGGTATTTTGACCGAATTCGTGGAATTTCTAGAAAAAAATTGAAAATAAAAGAGATCTACAATGCTACCCAACTTGTATGACGGCTTCAAGTAATTGTTTTGATTACAAGAGTTACTAAAAAAAATACCAGAAAAATAAAATGTGACATAATTTTGAAAATTCCGTATTATGAGCACCTAGGGATTGAAAAAAAAAATACCCAAAATCTTCTTACAAATGTAAAAAATGGAAAATTGTGGAGCGTCATAAATAAAAATCGGCTGAATAGAACCAGAGTTATTGAAAAAAAAACGGAAAAAAATCATATCTCCGAAATGGGCTGTCGAAAAAATTTTAAGAAAATTAAGAGAGAGTTTTTCTAGCCCCCCCCCCCCCTAACGCAAAAAAAATCGAGATCAATTTCCACGAGTGTGAGAGTCAGCCGTTTACTCATTTGACATGGAATACCTCATATTTAATTTTTCATTTTCCTATATCTCTGAAACTATTAGATTTTTCCTAAAACTCCAACAATCAGAAATCACTTAAAACATACTCCTGAACCCATTGGCTTCAAGGATATCTCCAAAGTCACTTGCAAAACCGTCTTTATCTCATCTCTATCCTTCCCTTCGCTCCAAAATTACTCTAATCTCCTTCATAGATTCGCCAGTGCGTAAGGGAAGCCCTGCATATAATCCCTGACTTCTCAGTAGAGGATACACATCTGGCTCAACTATTCGTCAACACAACAGCCTGCATCCTGGCGAAAACCCGATGTGCAGCCCTGAATCCGATTACCGGATCAACCCAGGAACATCTCAACTTTTCCAAACTCCCGATCCCATCGATAAACGCTATTTTAATCAACTCTAACTATGACATGAACATCGTACAACTGCCATTCATCCAGGGAGCCATTGACGATTGTGCTAAGTACAGAAACATTCAACAAGCCTCGTGGCCTAGCGTCCGGTGTTGAAATGGTTCGAACCCCTGAGGGAATCTAACTCATGTCATAAAATTAAGTAAACATTGAATATAAAAGAATAAATATAAAAATTTGTTATGCATAGCTGATTCATACTCGTTTGTTTGAGGAAAGTTAAATGGAAATGAATGTGTTTACATTTATTATCGATGGGTTTTCTGTTCATTCAATCCCTAGCATGCGTCTAGCTAATGTCGCCTGAGCAATAAGTGGTGATGGCAGAAGTCGTGAGAAACAAACGGCAAAATATGATGAGCACTCGTCAATGCATGACGTCATCAATTCCCCTACGTAACGGCCAATGAACCGTTTGGCTGCGTGTTTACACTTGAGTTTGCGCACTACATCTTCGTATTTTTGGTTTTAATTTTTATAAATGAAGAATATCAATGGTGATTATGACAACAAATTAAACGGGAATGATGGCAATTATTTGATGTTTTTTGGGGAATTCTAAGTGGATTTATGAAGCTAATAAAATTCGTAAATTAATAATAATTTATTTGTAATTGTGCTGAATGAAGTAGAGAAGGCACTTGCTAGCTTATTTTATTTACAAACTTACGATTGACGGTGTCCTTTCTGTCATTCTCGTAACTCAGTGTTAGTATTATTTTTATCATTCGTCGGTGTAATGGTTTGTTTATGTTTTTTTTTGTATTTATAATCACAAGGTTACGAGCTACAAACTCACGACAAAACGGAAAAACGAGAAAAACTGTCGGCCATCATGAAATTATCCGGCACATTGATCCGAAAATGGGTTTGTAAGAGCAGTGCATTTTATAGAATGGGGAGGCCATCTTGTGATGGTGGGGACAAGTTCGATGAGATGTTTGGTTGATAATGTAGGTAGTTTTACCTACACTGGCCCTTTTCGAAACTTTCTAGTGTTCAGTAAAAATCTCTGAATCTCCGTACTGAAATCTAGCGGGAAAAAACTCTTGGTAATGAGTGAAATTTTGAATTATTTTGAGAAGACTTTTCCTAAATCATAAATCATTATAAATCAGGAAAATCAAAGTCTCATTTTCAGTCATTTTTACTTGAATCTAGCATGATTGTATTTGAATTAAATCTCATTACCTCTTACACGGAGAAAAAAAAATACCTTTGTCAAGGAATGATTGATGGTTCATAAATGGTCGATAAATAATTTTGAAATGAAAAAATTAAAAAATTAAAAATTGGGAAAAATTTATAAATTGTCACTAGTTGTCTACACAATACCACTGTCACTGGCGTGCTGTCATATGCTCGCTGTCCCCTGCTTGTTTTGAATTGCGGTTACGCTAATAGGAAGAAACCTACAATATCGATCTGATTGTTCTAACCTAATCTGAACTCCAGGCTCATCCAGACCCAGAGTTTGGCAACACGTGTGTGCGTGTGTTTAAATGTTTATCATCGTGATTTAACGATATTTCCGTTGTTCACTTTGACACTGGAGTCAATTAATCACAAAATATGGCTGAAAGAGTGCAAAAACGGTGTGAAAACTCGGTGCAGCACCTGGAGCTGATGGAAAAGATTAAATTGTTCGATGCGCGTGAAATCAGGTTAGTCAGAGAATGGATTACCCCAATTCTCTACACTAAAAACTCCAAGATAGAATTCATGGCATATTCTCCAAGAAGAAACACTGGGATCTTTCAAGAATGAACATTTTCATGGCGGAATGGATGTGAGGGAATTGGTGGAGGAAGATTCCTTGCTGGAATTCTATTTTTCGACGGTTATTCCATGTTGGAGAGTTTACTGTACTATGTTGAAATGATAAAATGTAGTGAACCGAAATGATAATAGACGATTTTGGCTGGAATCTCACAGAGAAAGTCTGTGGACATTTCCTCCATGAATTCTTCGTTTGTGTGAAGATAAAATTAAGAAAATAGGGTCACCGGAAATGTGGAGAAAACAATAAACTGCACTAGATTATTGTCGATTCGCGACGTTTCGCTTATAATTTAAACCTCCTCAGGCTTCTTGACAATTGAGTACATAGTCATACCATTTTCTGAAATTCCCATGACCCTACTTCCTTAATATTAACTGTGGAGATGAATAATAATTTCATTAGAAGATAAAATATTTGAGTAAAATGCTATTTTCAACTGCGGAAGTTTTGGCGAATTGCAAACGAAATTTCTGAAAAAAATTTAGGCTGAAGATTTTTGTATTTTAATCATTTTCGAAATTTAAAGGGCTCTTACAGGGAAATATGGGTTTTCCACAAGAAAGCAGAGAAAAGCTTGGAACTTTGTACACTATCGTTTTCTAATGTTATATGAATAGTTGTTGGATTTAACAAATATTGTTCAAAATTGTTGAGATGAATTACTTTGTAATTGTTAATAACAAAGAGAGCAAAGTCAAATTTTCTTTGTGATGCAAGGGATTATCTCTGGGGTTGTACCAAATAAATCGATCAACATTTGCGAACACTAACTCAAGATATAATTGAATTTCCGTTTTTGGAGTAAAGTAACCCCGTCATAATATTTTCCATAACCAAAGGACATTGCTTTCCAAAAGGTGAGGATAAAAATCAAGTGCTTTGAGCTTTGAAAATACTGATTACTTACAGCAGAAGATTTTTTGGAAATTTTTGAAGATTTTGTGGCCATTGGTTGCCCCTTAAAACACATCGCCATTTGCAATAGAAAACCTTCCTCCGGCGTATATCTTGTTTTCGAAGAGTGCCAACTTTGCAGATCGACGTGATCATGAAATTTGCAATCACATTCGTGAAATAGTACATTTTTCGTAATGCTAAGCGTTTGTGAATCCCTTCCTACAGCCGGAAGGGTGGGGCGAAATGGACACTTTTTACTTGAAAAAAAATTTTATAACTTACAAAGAGATTTATCTATTAAGACCAGTCTAGGCTTATCACAAAGGGGAAGAATTGTTCTTTCCATTAAAGAAAAATTCTGTTTCTTCCACAATTCACCACATCACTAACATTTCAAAAAATTCAGAAGTGTCCATTTTATCCCACTCTCCCCTACTATTCATTAATTCGATGCCTAGATTGTTGTGAATATACACCATTATGATTTATTTCGTTTCATTTTCCAGAGGAATCATCAAAAAACGAAAAGACTACGAATACAAACTTTCGAGAACAATCAAAAGTAAAGAGGATTACTTACGGTATATTCAGTATGAAATGGATCTCCTGAAGCTCCTGAGGCAGCGAAGAACGGTGGGTGCTCATCTTCTAAACCATTGACATCATCGTTTCATCACATTCTCATTTTTTTTTACGCAAAAGTAAATAAACAAAGTTTTTATTATTAATTTCTGGGTTTTAGAAATTTGGAATCACTCAGAAAAAACGTGACATTGATTATGGAATCGTCAACAGAGTGATGAATTTGTATAGAGAGGCACTAGAGAGATTCAAAGACGATTTGAGATTTTATGTTGCTTACATGAAGTTTTGTAAACAAGTCGTAAGTATTTCAGATAGTTTTCTTTCTAATAAAATTGATGGTCCTTATTAATGAGTGCTTTTTTACGTATTTGTGATTTAAAAGGGCTACAATGATGTTGTCAGTCGAACACTTACCGAGATGCTTCAAATTCACGGAGATAAACCAAAGTGCCATCACATTGCTGGCAAATGGGAGCTCGAGGAAAGGAAGAACATCAATAATGCACGAACTTATTTTATAAATGGTATTAATCATCATCAGGATTCCCAATTGCTCTACACCGATGCATTTCAGTGAGTTTTGATCATTATCTTAACCACACTATTCCCATTCCGTAGGATAGAGGTGAGATTTCTACAGTTCAGAGGAATTTTGTAAGGGCATAAATTCAGGGAAACCAACCCGGCTGAAAATACAGGCATGATTAACATGCATGAAAAGTGAATAACGATAAAAGTATCTATTTTTTTTTCTGTAAAAAAAGTATCTTGTTCATTGAATGATTTCAAAACAAGTCAAAAGACATTTTGGATGGGAAATTATTGCCCCTCAAAATTTCAGGCAATCCATCATTAACAACAATTTTACTTCTTTCTCATTGTATTAAACAAAGAGAAAAAATGTTCTGCTGCCTAGAATCAGGTTACTGATTTCAAGGAATTCGCGGTCCTAGGAGGCATTGTAAGGTGAAAGTCCGAGTCCCCGAAATTGGCCCGATAGTCAAAACTTTCTTGCACATCCAACGTATTTCCAGTAGCAGTCCAATCAGAGGAACAAATTGAGATACTCAAAGGGAATGTTTCCTTTTCCTCATAAAAAATTATGTTGTTCTATGTATGCGTTCAGCTACTGGACCTAAGCGTTCAGCTGCTGGGAAATTCATCTTAATCAGATTAGAAAACTGGTTATGAGCTGATCCACGCCAAATCAGCAGACCAAAAAAGTCGATGCTGGCGATTTCTATCTCAATTTTTTTTTTGAAAAAATGGCGATTAGATGAAAATTTTGCAAAAGAGAAATTGAAAAATATTGATGATTGAGAGTTATGAGTTTTTGAAAATGACTTGTTTATGTAAAAAAAAGTTTTTTACGCTCCGCGTGCCTAAAAGTCCAATTTCCGCCACATTGTGATGAAAAATATTGTTCGTAACTCGTGAAAAAATGTTTTTTGCACTCGTTACGAAATATACTATTATGTCACGAAGGCTGAAACCGGCTGAATTAGACACGAGACGCGAAGCGTCGAGTGTGTAATCCAGCCGGTTTCAGGCATGAGTGGCATAAAAATATTTTTCAAAGAGCTTTCATTTGTTGGTAATCGAGAATTTGATTGATTTGACTCATTTTTAATTATTCAATTGAATATTCACTCATTTGGGGGATAATGGCATGAATAATAGCGATCTGCAATCATTTTCAATACTTGTCAAACTGAAAAAAATAATAAGCTTTTTTATAGTAATTAACGATTGAAAAAACACGTTTTTTCGTACAAACACCGTAAAACTGAAGATAATGCTATGTGTAAGGGCTCATTACACGTTGCAATGAAATAAGACCAAGTTTTTAGTTTTGAGGCTTTCGCGGCCATGATTGTTGATATCATTGGCTTCCGGATAGATGCCGCGTTTGGTTTCAGCGTTGCGCCGACATTTCGCAAACATTGCAGCCTGCATCTTCAGGGAGATCCGATCAATTAGCCCCTCATGTATAGATATTCCAAATTTTTCTTTTTTTCCTCATTGAAGTAGTTTTGAAGAAAATTGCGAGCTAATAAAAAACATTTGCTAGTTAGTACTTTTTTTAAATAAATTTTTGGAAAATCACCTCTGAAAAAAAAGGCGTTATCCCCCCTATTTCATTATTTCCAAAAAATTTTATCACCAATCGATAGCAAATTGTTTGAAGATCTTTGCGAGTTAAGAAAAAATTGTCAATGCAATCCTATTATTGTGTAAATTAACAATTCCAATTTCAACTGAAAACCAGAGTTGATGACCAGAGTTTTTAACAAAGATGTCAGACAAGATATGAATTTTTTTTTTGGCTCAAATGAAAAAGCGGCTCGAAAAATGGCGTGCAGAAGTCTTTAAAGATGACAAATGTCTCTAAAGATGATGTCTGTTTTCA